CTCAAATCAATCGCTCAAAACTTTCGTCGTTAACGACTTTCTTAAACTTAGCTCACTGTTGTTGGTTAAGATATGCTAAAAATGGTATAGTTGATATCCATTCTCGACCCTCCTTGTTCGAACTGGACCACTATAATTTCGTCACTATATTTATGCTACACACCTGAATTTTGATAATTCATTGAACAGTATGGAGAAGTCGCTTACCAGTGACGCACTTCGCGGTACTTTCAGAAATCCTTTTTCTTCACGCATTCTTTCACTTATTTTGTCGTAACTTGACTGGAGCAGTCACCGTTGTACGTTTTAAACGTTTCAGTTGTCTCTCAAGCAATCTGGTTTAATATCCTCTACGCAACAGTGACATTGCAATGAATTGACAGAATTTATCGTTCTGCTTCCTCATGGTTGTAGGCATTTTTAATGGTACCATCAATATTTGTTGTGGTCAACTTCACTTTAATTACATTTTATGGTCATACTACAATACAAACTTCGACTGATTTTTATGGTTATATGCCAAAATTACCATAGTTTTATGGTCTCTGATTGGACAATTTCAGTGGGCAATCCACTCGTCAGTTCTCTTCCCACACAAAAGACGTACTCTCTGTGGCGTTTTCTGCTGACAACCGTCAAATTGTCTCTGGTTCCCGTGATCGCTCCATCAAGCTGTGGAATACATTAGCGCAGTGCAAGTACACCATCACAGTAAGTCTTCATTTCGAGTGGGCTCACCAGCAGTGCTTCCGCTAGTGGACGGTATTTTTTCTCAAAAAGCTGAAGTTTTTTTTGGGGGCGGGATGGGTGGAAAAGCTGTGGTGTGACTTTGAATAAGATGCTCGATCAAGCTAAAGCTCCTGCTGGGTTATGAGCGGTTTTTCTGTATTTGCAAAATCTTCCAATCCAGGCACTTCTTGGGATACTTTAATATAATTATTTATGTATGGCAGTATGGAAATTTTGTTCCTTACTAAGCTAGACATTCCAGGGAATGTTACAGAACAGAATGGTCACACCGCTTGAAGGGGTTTGTAGTGCGCAGTCATGGAACAGCAGCGTTACTCCTGTGGGCAGTCACCTTCTTGTGCAACAGAAGAACTTGTTCTTTGAAAAACTGTAATTCTTGCAACTTGTAGTCTAAGAAACTATGATACTTGCACCGTCTCCTTCTTTTGCTAGTTGACACTTCGCTTTTTATTGACTATGGTGATATCTGAGCCATGTGTGAAATTCATTGTTTTAGGAAGACTGCCACACTGATTGGGTGTCTACTGTAAGGTTTTCACCCTCCACTCGCGATCCCGTCATCGTATCTGCTGGATGGGACAAGATCGTTAAAGTGTGGAACCTTGGAAACTGCCGTCTGAAGACCAACCACATTGGTCATACTGGTTACGTCAGCACCGTGACTGTCTCGCCCGATGGTTCGTTGTGCGCTTCAGGAGGCAAGGACGGTCAAGCGATGCTTTGGGATCTGAATGAGGGCAAGCACTTGTACACTTTGAACGGAAACGATGTCATTCACGCAATGGCCTTCTCTCCCAACCGATATTGGCTCTGCGCTGCTGTTGGTCCAGTTATCAAGATCTGGGATTTGGAAGATAAGCGTGAGATTGAAGAGCTGAAACCTGATATTACCGGAAAGACGATGACGGCTCCTCAGTGTGTCTCTTTGGCTTGGTCCCAGGATGGGCAGACTCTTTATGCTGGATACACGGACAACGTTATACGTGTGTGGCAAGTGTCTGTGCGTATCATCTAAGTTGATTGTTACTGTTATTTTTTTTTCGCGCAGATAAATATGTTGATATTGGGAGTTTCGCTCTAGAAAGCTATGCGATAATGGTATTCCAAAGTTGTTTTTTACGATGCGAATGAACTTGTACATTTGCTTGGCTAACATCTTGTTCTGCAAACTTGCTTTCCTTGTTTCTTCAATATTTGTACAAATTTGAAAAAAAAACCGTAACTGTGCAAATTTTCGATTGAATCGTCAGGTTCCTTCTAACCATGTTTTTGTTTTTATTGTGCGTTGCAAGATTAACTGCGACTGGGCCTTCGGTGAAAGAGTGGGGAACTCCCGTGCAAATGTCTGAAGTGATTCTCAGAAATGAATGGCGTCAGGTTAGAGGCTAAACATGCAAGGGAGCTTGTCAAAGGTGGGTTCCGTGATGAAGTAAAGCTGATTGTGCGCCTTAGGTGTGTTGAACTCTCCTTAAGTCTAACTCCAATTTGAGATCCGGGCCGTGTACATACGCTCTAGCTCAGGGGTCTAGCGTGTGCTAAAATCAGCGCTTCATTTGAGGGAGTCACATAGCAGGAGAGATCTGTGATCATATTCATAAAAAATAATTGCAAAGGTGCAAATGCGGTGATGGTAATGCGACGTGAATACAGTTGGAAGAATGAGTCACTTGACGGGCGCTCGAGTGTCTCTCATTCTTTTATTGTTGAGGTGCTTAAATGACGCTCGAAATTCGTTATCGAACACGAACAATTTGCACTTAGCCGGTTTCGAACAGTCTTGCTGTGTATCGTTCTAGAAGAGCTGCCACCTTCTAATTAACCTCAAAACCTATGATTCTGGTTCCAATGTTCTTAAAAATGTTGTAAATCTTGGCAGGGGCTTCGCTCTTCATAGTATGCGAGGCCGAGGTAAGGCTGGTGTCAGAGTCCGCGATCCGTCGCAGGTTTCGCTGATTTTCGCGATTTGCGCGATTCACGCGACGGGTCACGGAAATCACAAGTGCCCGATCAATACTGCAAGGTGTTCTCCAATCCGCCGCCACTTCTGCTTGATAGTGATGGCTGAATGACGACTGCTCATGATTCCACTTGTTTCATATTCAGTGTTTCAAATGTTCAAATGGGGCACTTGCAATTTTTGCGATCCGCGCAAAGCTTGCGACGGATCACAGGAATTGCCCCGGTCAACGTCCCCCCCCCTACCTAATTTTCTCACGTTGTAGGGCGGCGCCGCGGCCAGTGTGGTTCACTAGAACAGAAGGCGACTTTTTCGCGTTTCGCGCGCGAAACATTTTTCGCTGCGGGAACTCCGGGTCCACTCATGATGATCAGCGGTGGACCTGAGGTTCCTGCAGCGAAAAATGTTTCGCGCTGCGAAACGCGAAAAAGTCGCTTTCTGTCCCAGCGAACACACCCCGCCGCGGCGAGCACGGATGGGTCGGTAGTGCCCGTTCGCAAGAGGATTGATAGCACCTCGCAGTATTCATCGGGCACTTCCAGACCGTGCGATCCATCGCAGGCTCTCGCGCAAATCGCGAAAATTTGCGAAATCTGTGACGGATCGCGGACTCTGACACCAGTCTAAGGTTTGCAATATCAACTTTCGGCTGTATCTAGTAGGGAACGGGTAATACGAGTTGTACAGTCGATATCCGAAAGTTGGGGTAGGCGTGTCACCGGAAGTGACGTGCACTTGATAGAAGTTGCGTGGATAAGCTGTTGCCAGCATGCTTTGCTGATATCCAGCTAATTGTGATGGTCGTATAGCATTAGAATGTACCGGGCGTCTGACACATCCTGGTCGTTAGTTCGCTACGCATCTAAGGCTATGATACCGATTTGCGCTCCAATATGTCTTTTGGAACCTACTTCTTCTAGTTAGTTTCTTTTCGGTGTTGCACAGGGAGTGTTTTCAATAGATAGCGAATGGATAGCATGAGACCCCGTGCGCTTACTAGGTGACCGCGGCGTTTGCGATCGTTGCGATCGGACGACCGACTGAAGCGCTCCATTCGGTCGGGGATGGGTCTCTATACTTTGCATCCTCACTCCCGTCGATGACACAATCCCTATGGACAAGTATAGGAAGATACGTTCAAAGCCACAATCATGGCGTTCCCGTGCACGGAAACCAACCGAAAAGAGCGCTTGGGCCTTGCAAAGTAAGCTGCTAAAGCTGCAGATTTTTTTCTCTTATCAGGCTGTTGTCTGGCGCTCTCTCATCTGTAGCGCTCTCTCGCCTCATACTCTCCTCTCCGCGCTTAGTCTCTCATTCCCTTAGCACAGCCGATTAGGAAGGTGAGTGAGCCCTTAACCTAGCGTTTTCGACGGATTCTTTTCCTTTTTTCTTTACTGCCGGCCCATTTCGCACCAATACATTCGCATTCGTGTGCAAGAGCCACACCAGTGTGATCCTGGGGCATGCCTTTAGAGACGCATAGCGGGAGACACTCTTTGTCGGGCCACAGTTGCATACCGCTCGTGGAGGTAACTTTAGGAAGCAAGAAGTAACGTTGGGTTAAGTGTAGTCCATTTGGCGCGTCAATAAGATAAACCAGTGTGGGCGCATTGAGGCGCTTAGCTTTTGCAAGGGT